GCATTTAACGCCGGCCATGACAAGTGGCTTTAGCAGGAAGCCAGCAAAGGAGAGTCGCCGCCCTGAAAACCAATAAGTCGCTTACTTGCTTGGGGGCGTGCGGAGACCCCCCTTTCCGGCCACCTGGGCTCCAGGAAGCCACAAGAGACCTGTAGCCTAGAATGGGTTAGGGTTTAGGGTGAACGCGGGCCGCGCCCGGACGCGGCCGCAGCCACTTGACTCGAGCCCGCGGCGCAACAATACCTTACATTACATTCAAACACTACACAGCAGTTTGAGATCGCGTCTTCCTAACACTTGCTCTGCTTCCTTCAACACTCAATCCAAAGTACCGCCTGTTCAGGCTTCAAACGGCAGAAAAGCATGGCGAGGTTCGATGTCGGTCTGAGCCCATGTGCCGGACCTCTGCTGGCGATGCGTAGTGACGCGGAGGCTTCGCTGTGTACGACCCTGGCTTCATGGTATTCAAGCTTGACACCTGCAAAGCTTCGCTCAGTTGCACCAGTCGCTGTGCTTTGAATTGAAGCGAGATGCCAGTTCCAGGCTCCGTTGCCATTGAGCCGAGCGCTGGCAGGAAGACCTTGGCAGATCGGCGGTTGCCCAAGCATCGGGGGGGGGCATGGCGGCCTGAGGCGAACCTTAGAAGACCTTGGAGCCCTGCCCAAAGAGTATGGCTTCATACGGCTTCATATGTCACGGGGAGATGCCAAAAGGCCTGCAGCCCTGTCCTTTCAGGGGAGTGGCAAGGCCCGCCTCTGGCTCGGCGGCTCCTGCAGCCGAAGCGAAATGATGTAAATTGTAAATCATTTTACTGCCGGCTACTCCGATGTTGCCTCATTTGCCAAACGTGTCTGTGAAATTGGCAACATGACCTTGGGCCGTAATTTTGGAGGCGAGATTTCATCACCTAAAGATGCTGTGTCGGGGGTTTTCATAGAGAGATATTTGAGGGAGAGGCAACATGCAAACAGGTTTGCAGGTCATAATGCGATGTTGTCGAGATATTCCCGGAGGGAGAACAGTTTGCATGAAGTTTGGGCACCACAAGAGTCACGGCTGCAAGCTGCGCTTGTCATGAAGATCTTCAAGCCCGGAAGGCCTGGCATGCTGCCCTGGACATCCGTGTGCCAGAAAACAGCCATGGCGACTGCAGCAAACGGGGCTACACCCAACGCCAGGAGATTTGGTGGTGAATGAGCTTGCTTCAACTTCCAAAGCACTCTCAACCTGCTGAGCATGGAGGTGCTGCCAATCTTGACTCTCTCTTTCGTGGCCAGCGCTCCGATGTCTTGCAGAGATGCGACAGCCTGCTGACAAAGTCAACTTGCCTCAGCTATCCTTATCAAGCTTTCCCGAGCCACACAGTCAAAACACAAGAATGCAAACCTATACATTGAGACTGAGAAGATCCACGGTGCCATACTGGCAGCCCATCACAATTCAAGTAAGCCGGGCCCTCCAGGAAGCAGTTTCAAAGACTGTGCGGCTGGCATTTAAGCAACACAGCCACGGATGAAGCCAACTCCAAAGCTGCAATCGTGGACTCTATCTCCTGAACGCTCCAACCAACATCCCTCCCGTTTGCCGGTGTAAACTTTACGTCCCGACTACCGGCGTCGAACACTACACGGCAGAAGGCAAGCTCCGGTTTTTCACCATGCAGGAGCTGCAATCCTTTCCGGAATTCTGCATGCCAGCCACTGTGGTCAGTGGCAGCTGCCCTCCCGTCCATGGTGTTCACGCTTCCAAAGAGTCTTCTCCCTACCGTTTTTGAACCAGCTCAAGCATCCAGAAAACGTGCTGAGCTAGAAGAGTCTTGATTTCAGCCATCGCTGCAGGTTGGAACTCGTCTAGCTAGCCGCTGCCTTTAGTTTAAGGCCAGCTTCGGGGAGATTCTGCAGGAAAGGGGAAATGCACACGAAGCCAAAAAATGTGAATGCATCCTACGGCTTATTGGGATACGGCGATCATCTTGAACTGCGTGAACAATGGAGCCAAGAACGCAGCCTAAACACTTCATGCAGGTCTGAATTTCTGGCGGCAAACTCCCACCGTTACAAAAACGAATCTCTTGGACTTCCGCGTTAGGTCATGTTAGGTCGTACTTCCGAACAGGAACCATCCACTGGAGGGCGCAGTCGCCAACCTAGATCGAATTAATGGGCTTCCTGGAAGGTCTGGAAAGCTTTCACTTCATCCTTGTAAGCAGGGTCTGTGAAAAGAGCTTCGCCCAAGTCTCTGAGGTTTCCAGCCAAATCCGCACCCTACGCCCTACGACTCTGAGTTCAAAAACCTCTTGATCACTCCTGGCCTCCGACGTTGTCGCCTTCGTGGCTGGGTCATTCAGTCTGCCTCAGGTGATGAGCTAGCTCGACTTGGGCTTCTTGCACTAACATAGGTCTTGGGCTGCAACACAAAACACACAGCGGTTCTTACGCGATGGGCAACAGCTCCCTTTTCCGCGGCAAAAAAAGACAACCCTCCACACTGGTGCCCGCCGCTGTGACGCAGCGCTGCACATCACATGTGGGGCGTGGTGTCAAGACCTCCAAACATGTGTGCGACGCAGTACGGAGCGCATAGCACTGGCATGCTGTTTTCATTCGAACACTGATTCCTTCAACCTTCCGTCAGGATTTCCTGAACCACGCCGAACACACCCAAAAGCTCAACAAATTTGCAAGCTGAAGGGGTTTGGGCGCAAGGCTGATGAGTCATTCCGTTGGATAAGAGCTTTGTAACTTTCGGTGGAGGGACTTCGAGTCAAGGGCCTCTGCACGAATCCCGTCATGAGGAAATGCCTGCAGCATTCCCACCATGACGTCAATAAGGCCGACTGCTACCATGGCCGGCATCTTAAAAGGAGAGTGCAACAGATGCACGGGTCCAAGCTGGCTTGTCATGGATATTGTAGATAACCTGCAGTCCTATGCTGTGCAGGGCATTGTCAGGCACTAGTGGCTAAGCCAAAAGAAGGCGCAGAAGCTTGAAGGCCTTGTTGGGGACTGGGGAACGGGGGGGCAGGAACATGGGTTGGACTTGATCCGGCTATTTCTGCGCATCGCCCTCACAGCAGAACGCACCTCCTTCATTCTCCTGCGACTTATTCTGCCGATGTCTAAAGTTTTGGAATTATCAGACCCTACAGGGTGTCCAGCCCAGCATAGCTTGGACTCGCGGAGAATTGATAGCATCCAAGGCTCCAGAATGAGGAGATCGGTTGGTCTTCTCAGGGTTCTCAGGCTGGTCGACTGCAGCTCAAGCATTTACGGGCTGCCGTTGCAATGCATCGGTTGTAACGCTTCAGCCGCGCAAATTGACTACCTAGGCAATATTCATAACCCGTGGAAGATGGTACAATGGTAGAAGAAGCTCGGCCAACTGGCGGCCAATATCTGAGGAAAGAGAGACAGTTCGAATGGTCTCACAGGTGCTGCGAAGGGTCTTCTAAACAAAATATGTCGGCCCACGTAGATATCAGCGTAATCGTTGCGAACCCATCTCCTCCTCCAGCTATGCTGCTGTGCCGCAATACTCCATAGAGCTACTGTGTCGGGATCTTCCCCTCGCCGTTACCGATCAGAGCTCGCGGCTCGGACCACAAGAAGTCTGGAAGGGATCTGGGTTATCGGGACAAGTCACGGGCTCTGCGGCAGACGTTTGGTTTCGTCCGTCTTCGAATTCCTGGCAGGAACGATCATGTGGACCTCAAAGGCCTCAAAGGGCATGTGCAAGTTCCTCAGGTCAACACTGGGACACCCCAAGAGACTAGGGATTCAACGATGGGCCTCCTACATGGGCAGTTTCATCCCTCGACGTCCTGAACATGACACGAAAGCGCTGTCACTCACATCCCTCGCGGGGCGGCCAAAGCGATAACATCGTTTCCCCCCAAAACAACATTGGTGAAGCAAGTCCCCTGTTCCAGTAGTCCGTACAGCTACCGCCTAGCAGTCGTCATTCGAACCTGCCAGTTTGCAGCTGATAAGTAGGATGATGGCACGCACAATGGCCCTCACCACCTAACCCGAGCATGATAACATGATAACATGCGATACTGCACGCACGTCGGTCGAGCGTGAACTTGAAATTCAGGCGATCAACTTTTTTGAACGAGGTCTCTCTATCAACCCTGAACCCAGAAACAGGCTCCTTTCCTCCACCTCTTGGAGTTACTGGAGTTCCTTTTAAACTTTTAAGCACAGTAGGGCCCACAGGGTGCGCTGCGCTAGATATTGGAGGTGTGGCCTCAGCAAACCTCAGGCGATTCAAGGTGGAGGGGAATGCAGTCCAATCGGCTGGCAACCTGCAGCATGCAGTGGACTTCTTTAGCTAATCCCACACCCAAGCACAGGTCTCTACCCCTCGAACCCACAAAGCACGATCGACGATCAGGGGTGTCATGGCTTAGGTATTCGTCCTAAGCCACCTTAACCACTTGAAGCAGAACAGCTGTGGTGCTGAGGCATGAGCTTGGACATACGCACCTGCATGCACCTGCGAAAAGCCTGAAGCTCCCCAGTGGTGATAGGGCTAGGTAGATCGGCACCACGGTAGTAGCTGCTTCATGGTGTCCCAGCCGTCTAGATGCATCGGGCCGACGACCAAAAAAATAGCCTTCACCCTTCTGCAACAAAGCAGGAATGATGGTGACCCTCTCGGGACGCACTGGGCTGTGATAAATAGAAAGACCAAGCGCTTGTGCTAACATACTTACAGCTGCACTCCTGAGTCCCGTGGGGATGGACATCGCTTTCCATCGGTAAGCCGTCTCTTGACGGCTCACTCGTCAGTATTAGGTAGTGCATCGTGATTCCCACAACTTTGGTCCGTAACAGTGCCATAAGACCGAGACTAATGGTCGTCCATGCACTCTCAAAGACAAATCCTCGACGAATCCTGAACCTCCGTAACTTCGACCCCAGACTCTCTTAAAGTCATATTCCGTCGCCGCCATCAGCGGAGACTTTTGAAAGGCAGGCACCCACAACCTACGTCCCAGCCACTCGTGCTGCGGAGCACCGAAACTTCGTCTGCCGCTCAAGTTTTTCCTAGACACATGGAACAGATGTGCATCGTGCATACAACAGGCAAGGGTTATCCTAGCAGGCCCTAGCACATCACCTCGGGTTCGTGCATGGGCAATCACGATGGAATCAGCCTCGTGCAGAAGGCGGGTTGACCAAGAGCTTTGATCCCATCGTCGCAGAGGTCCAAGAGGCTCAGGCCAGCTCAGTGCTCTTGTGCAGAACCAATCCGCATGCTCTCTGTCTCTGTCTCTGTCTCGTTCTTTCGTTCTTTCTTTCTTTCTGCGGGCCTGTCTCTCTCTCTCTCTCTCTCTCTCTCTCCTCTCTCTCTCTCCCTGTCCCCCGGGCATCTTGTTCAACTCAGCCGTCTGTCAACCCCTCCCCTGTCGGGTGTCTTGTTGTGAGAAAACATCTCTCTATCTCTCTCTCTCTCTGTATCTCTCTCTCTCTCTCTCTATCTCTCTCGCTCTATCGCTCTCCCTCCGTGTCTCCCTCTCTCGGCATCACGGTCTCTCCCTGTCTTTCAAAGTAGCTGCATTGTTGATTTTAAGTCCTTGAGCCTTGATGTGTTCATTGGAGCCCTCAAGCCTCAAAGACCGCTAGGTCGACATTACGCATCGGCGGTGCCGTGCTGACGTGGAATCTCGGCGGGTCCCTCATCGAGAAGGCCCTGAAACTGGCAAAACAGCGGCGGCGTGCTTGTGAGCATCTTCGCGATGGGTCCCATGGGTCTTTAAATTAGGAACATGTTCAAGCCGGTGGACTTCGCGGAGCATGTAGATCGAAGCTTGCATGTCTGGGGGCATGCTGACTGGACAAGCTCCAGGCTGTTGGATGCAAGTCGCCGCTTCAGGCGCGCAGCCTTTCTAGTGCAGCTTCATGGTGCTTAGCACTCTGAAAACCACGGATGCGCCAATGCCTGACAGTGCTTGCGATTGGTGCTGTGCTAAAATGTTGAGTTGTGATGTGTTGCTTCAGGACTCGGCCGCTAAAGTCACCGGTAGGGCTACGGGCTTCCTTAGCACCAGTCGTGCAAGTGCCGGGAGATTTGTGGTGGGAATCTTCGGGCTGTAAGCGGGGCGAAGGGCTAAGACCCTCATGAGGCTCAAGATCCTGTGTAACAAAAAAAGATTTGAAACAAAGACATGCTGGACGACTGCTCGCAACCAGAACACATAACACAGCCGCCACAGGGTGCTTCTGAATTTCCTGTGAGACGACTTCTGCCAACGTTTTATGGATCCTTTCTGGTGCATTTATTGTTTTTGGGGTGGGGTTGAGGAGGGCTACTGAAGAGGTTCTGCAGTGCGTGCTGAGAGACTGCTCTGGCGTCCCTGGGCCGCATCGCCGGCGAGAAGGACAGGAGCTGCTTGCATAGGTCTTTGCTGACTGGCTGCCTTGCTGATTGCTTTGTGGAGCAGTGGGAGCGCAAGGCCTCCACTACAATACTTTACAAGGCCTCCGCAAGTTTAGACCGTAGGCTTCAGCTGGAAATGACAGGGAATAGCTTGGCAGCTTATTGCACTTAACGACGAACCCTTCTTGAGCTCATCCTTGTCCTTCTCCCTTGGAGCCGAGGCCTTCATTTACACCCTGAGCCGTGTCTGCCTTAAGCGAAGTACTCAGAGCGGTTAATCCAGTGTCTTCACACCTCACGGCCAGCAGCAGCTTTATTCTCTCCTGGTTGCGATGGCCAAGGGTCGCATTCCCAATCCACTTCTGCCTGCTTGAGTCCTCAATTGCTCGGGCAGAGCTTGGAAAAGCTTGGCTGAGCCCGTAAATCATCGTGCAAGGCAGGGGGGGGGGCAAGGCATTCGACAGCAGTCGAACAGTGCAGTCGGAACTATGGAAGCACAAGTGGCGGCTACTTGTGGTTGTAACCCGGATATATTCATTTTGCGCTGGCTGTCATGCGCTCGTGATCACCGAATCCTGCCCGTACCACCGTACCGAACGCAAAGTCTGGACGAACCAATCACTCAACCGCAAAAGCGAACCGCAGATCTAACATCAGTGACGCCCTCGCCCTCTGTGTACGAGCTGAGCCCGACACTCTGAAATGTCTCTTGCCAGGCGATCCGAGGACTTGGTATCCTGGTCGTTTGGAAATCATGTAGACTATGAGAACCTTTGCAGCAGCAGTTTCCTGAAATGAGATTGAGCCTAGTTCGGAGGCTTCCCAGCTTTCTTGGCCGAGGCCAGCTAAGCAGACTTAAGCTTTCAGAAGCATAGTTGGATCCTCCTCCATGGTTTGCCGCTTTCGGCGAGCGACGGCTGAGCCATCCAAGCACTTTGATCACTCTTGCTCTCGAAGGCACCGTGTGT